GTGCAGCAGAACCGAGCCGTGAGCTCTGGGGCTGGGGACAGAGCGACCGAACCTGACCCGGTGATGGTAGCCTGGACACCGGTGGCCCCGTGCTTCCTCCCGCCTGCCTTACCGGGCAGCATACCGCCGCCGGGGTTGCTAGTCCGGTCCAGTCAGCAGCCCCAGCTGCCCCCAACAAGTGTCCTCCTTTTTAGAAACCCAGATCTGGTCACCATAGGGGTGAACGTAGCATAACAGCGGCTAGCTTCCAGCCATGGCGTCCTGCAGGGGGGAGGGACAAGCAGATGACCATGATTGATGTGTCATGGAACTAATCGTGTACAACGGACCGTCTTTTGTGATTGGTTGGGGTTATTCATTGATTTCTCACTGAAACTGGGACCATTTATTTTAGTTTCACTTCCACACCTTCTATTTCACTGCTTGCTAAGCAGCTGTGGGGAGATCTTTAAGCCACATGGTAAAAATGCGTCAGAAAAGATCTCTTACTGCACCTTTAAGTTTCAAGTCAATTTCAATTCAGTTCATTTATATTGCGCCATTTCACAACATTTCTTCTCAAGGAACATTACAGAGATATGTAAACCAGATAATACAGTTAGATTGGTTAAAATTTTTCTATATAAGGACTCTCATCTGATTGCATTCAGTCATTGACTTTGCAGGATTTGCTCCTCCTGCATGAACATGTGGTGATTGGAGACATTTGTTGGGGCTTTGTCGTTGACTTTGCAGCAATCCATTTCATTGCGCATGCAAGCAGCTACAGTGGAGAGGAAAAAAATTGCTGACTGGGTATGGGGCCAAAGTTGTCGCTTTATTATTTGCAAATGTGTGTGGAGAGTTGTGTGTCTGTATCTCGATTTGTGTGTGTGCAGGGGGATTTGAAAATGTGTAAATGAAACTGTAAATGTGTGAGGAGATTTGTGTGTCTGTACAACAATCTGAAAATGTGTAAAACACAAATGTGTAAAAAATCCACAAATCTGTATTTAGATTTAGCTGTAGTAAGATTTGCAAATGTGTGGATCAATCTGTAAGCACACACAGAGACACTTATGTCTGAAGTATTTTCGGTTCAAGACTCAGAAATACAGACGAATCATTGCTTACAAGTCGAGCGGTTTCGCGGTTGGCTCACTTTACTTTATTTTCATTTAAACNACATGTGGTGATTGGAGACATTTGCTGGGGCTTTGTCGTTGACTTTGCAGCAATCCATTTCATTGCGCATGCAAGCAGCTACAGTGGAGAGGAAAAAAATTGCTGACTGGGTATGGGGCCAAAGTTGTCGCTTTATTATTTGCAAATGTGTGTGGAGAGTTGTGTGTCTGTATCTCGATTTGTGTGTGTGCAGGGGGATTTGAAAATGTGTAAATGAAACTGTAAATGTGTGAGGAGATTTGTGTGTCTGTACAACAATCTGAAAATGTGTAAAACACAAATGTGTAAAAAATCCACAAATCTGTATTTAGATTTAGCTGTAGTAAGATTTGCAAATGTGTGGATCAATCTGTAAGCACACACAGAGACACTTATGTCTGAAGTATTTTCGGTTCAAGACTCAGAAATACAGACGAATCATTGCTTACAAGTCGAGCGGTTTCGCGGTTGGCTCACTTTACTTTATTTTCATTTAAACAAAGGAATCAAAAAACCCAACTTATTAACCTAATGATGAACTCTGGAACAATGTATTGATTCGTACCAATAAAAGTGACAATCAGATGTAAAGAAGGAAATATTAAAACATTTCATCCAGAGTATCAGAAAGGGAAATTTGAAGCAGAACCTAACTCAATAGACCTCCTTTTACAGATGTTGGAGATCGGCCTGTTTTTCAGTGTAGTCCTGTTTCTCTGACTGTGGCTGGATGTGCTCTCTTCATCCTTTGACATTGGAGCTTGCTCGGAGCCTGCTTCTGCTGCAGGTTTGTTCCTGTTAAAAGGGAGTTTTTCCTCTCCACTGTCGCTACAAGCATGCTTAGTGTGAGGCATTGCATTCAAGTCAATGAATGATGCAATCAACTGATTTTCCTTTAACAGAAAACTTTGACTCAATCTGACTGTATGATCTATTGCACTGTAAAGTACCTCCAGATGACATTTGTTGTGAATTGGCGCTATAGAAATAAACTGAACTGAATCCCTGCTGGTGTCTGGTCCTCTTTGAAACTCCTGCATGGGAGGGGTTTAGCAGGAGGACTTTTAAGCATTTGTTTTCCAGATTGACTTCCAGACAGCGCTGATAAATAGAACGGACTAAGATCAAATGGGATTTTATAAGCTAACCTGCACCCTTTTTGGTGTTTGCTAACATTTGTACATTTTGTACTGCAGGGAGCTTGTAAAGGCCGTGTTGCAGCTGACATCACCATGATGTTCACTGTATATGTCAGTTCT